GTTGATGGTAGGGATGCCAGACGCTGTGGTGGCAAACCACAGGTTCTTAGTAGTGCTCATGGAGAACTTGCATGGACATCAAGTTAAGCACACTGAGCCCACACACCCAATCTGCAAGAAGAGAAGTGAAGATGCAGTATGCCATCATCTTCATTTTCAGGGCACGCCAAAGAAGCCAAATTAGCTGTCTTTCATAAGATGTAATAGCCCTCACAGACAACTCAAAAAGACAAGGGTGTTGATGTTTTTGGTTGGCCATAAACTAGCTCCTGGCAGTAACAGAAGTGTTACTTTAATATGGCAGTCTTCAATCTCTATGAAACAGCAAGAGAACAATGGGGTATATAGGAAAGATCCTGTTTAGATTTATTCAAGTATTCTTCAGTTAATATTCCCAGTGGCTTTTGTGAGAATGTGATAAAATAGGATCTTCTGGATGTGACCTACAAGAGAAGTCTGAATATCCTTTTCTGACTTTCTTAAAGTACTTGTTTGAGAACTTAATTTATTTCTTTCATTTAGAGTTATGGCTTTGAGGTCTATTTTCCCCCAGGAAATTAGGAACTCACTGAAGTTATCTGCAAACATTAAGGAGAACCTTTCCATGATGCTCCCCATCATCTTCCTGATCATCTCTGAACACAAATATCTGAAACTTTCTCATCCACCCACATGTTCTAGCAAAGTTTCTTTCAAAGTGCCTTAATCCACTGTGGGTAGCAAAGATGTCAGTGAGACCACTGTGTTTTCATGAAGTTCATATAACTCATGGCCACTCCATAATTTACATGATCCTGTGCTTTTGGATCATTATGGGCAGAGCTTTCAGACCTTGTTCAGTTTTAATTAAAAATATGTATGTATGTTGGCCTAGGCATCTGTTTCTAGAATTTATTCTACATGACCTAGAAGTTTTTTGTTTTTGTTTTATTTTAAACATTCCCTACACTACTGGCATAGCTGCTATACACAGGCTAACCTTTTTCTTAATTAAACCTACTCTTTCTGTTGCCATCTGCAACAGAGTGAGTGCACTTCCAAGCAGCTTTGTGCTAGATATCACACAGGATGGCAGAGCTTGAATCAGGTAATGTGAAAACTTCATTGGGGGATTATCAGTAGAACTGCACAAGATATTTGAAGAGGAGATAATATTTGCAAGAGTATGACAGCCAAGTTGCCTAGAAAATCTCTGCAGAAAAACAAGTTTTATCTTATGTAACCTACTTGAGACCAAACAAGGAATCTCACTTAGGACCAGATCCTGCTGCCTCTGAAGTAAGTGGAAAACTTCCCATTTGCTTCATTGTGGAGGACCAGACCCACAAGGAGTCTAGTTTGTCTGTATAAATAGGATAAAGAAACATCTGAGGCAACTTGTATTTCCTGGCAGTGAAGGTACCGAAAGGTAAAAAATCCTAAAGCTTTTGTCGAAAACATTTTAATCTACATTTGCTTTCCTCTGTCCATAGTTATTTCTCATGCACCAGAAAGATAATTGTGAAATGTTTGGCAAATGGAAAGGAATTTGGTCTAGATTCAGTATTCTGTCTGTGTGCACTTTCTGCTTTGTAAACATTGCATGTTCTGGAAGCAACCCTGGACTCAGATAAAATACATTATCGAAGCAGATTCTAAACCTGAAAACTGTTCCTGACTTTGCTGGAATTCAATAAAGAATCCATGCGTTACAAAGCAATACTTGTATACCCTGCAACAGCAGCATGTGGAACAGGAGTACTTCCCAATGATGGAAGACAGTACATTCAGGTGGACAGATCCTAATAGTTGTTTCCATTATAAGGACATATTAATGCCCAACATTTAAAAGAAAATGCACCTCTCTAGTTTCTGCACAAAATGCAATGTCAATAGACAATTTCCTGCACTGACAAAGGAGCTACCTTAAAAAAAAATGAATACTACAGGTTGTGAAATTCAGAATTCTATCCTTAGCTATCAAAAGAAGCTATTAAGTTGGTATGGCATCCATGTCTCTCTTGTCTTTGGTGTGAGGAAAGAATACAGAAGATAAGAAAATACCACTGTTTCTAGCAACAAACTCCAAATTCAAGATATGTTTGCCCAGAAGTTTCTTGCCTATTGCTTACAGTTCCCATCTTCATTTCCCACAATCTCTCTTCTGTCTGACATGATATTCTTGGTAGTTAATAAGGGAAATAAGATCTAGATAGATTGCATTGAGGTGGCTGCATAACTCATTACCAAAAAAAGAGGACGTCTGCTGTCCAACTAAGGGATCAAAGGACATTTCCATTGTATCCTATGGAAGAAAGACTACATTATTCTTGCTCTACTCAGTTTTTGCTAATGACCTATGAGCAAATAGAGTATGCAGAACACTATTTCAGATTCCAAGCTAAAGTAATTAAATCCCGTTTGGAGGTCAATCTGACAATTTGCGTTTGTGTTGTATCATTAGATTCCATGATACCATGGCATCTGTGATGGTAATTGTCATACAGCTGCATTTCTTATTGGCATCCTCTATCAAAAATCTAGAAGAGAATGGATTGTCATGTCTGAATCGACAGATCAACAAATAAGCAGATGATTAGCAGATCATCTAATAGTAATACATCATCTATTCCCTCCAAAATGGAGTTGAAAAGTGTTGGTTTAAAACTGTCAAGAAATGTGCTTTAGTCTTCTCCATTATTTATGCTCGTATAGTGTTGGTATAGCAATGGTACCATTATTACAAATGGAAGAGATTTTGTTCAAGATAAGAAAAGCAGACTTACAAATGAGCACAGTTATGTATCTCCCAAGACTTAAGTGCAGAATGATCTCAAGTTTTGGGCCTATCCCATGGCAAACAATTACAGTTGTTTTCTACATGGACTTGTTTTTGTTTTTGTTAACTACAGGAGAAAAAAAAAGAACAAACATCACATAAAGATTCTGAAATCTTAAGAGACTGAGACTGCTATTACCTATGCCTTTCTGTGGTCTGTATTTTTCCAGCATTTTATTTATGTACTTGAAAGCAGACAAGGAAACACGAATCTGCTCTGCCTTCATGCTGTGATATCACCCATGCTATCCATACAAAAAACTGTCTTGAGACTTTCTCTGCCCGTGTATTTGTTAAATATTAGATATGGCCAGCAGAATGAGTCAGTGTTTGTTTTTAACATCTCTTTTCTCTGTTCTGCTTTAATCACTATGGGAAAGCAGAGCACTTTCCACGTCTCTACTAAGAAAGGAGAATTACAAGATGAGAAAGATTCCTGTTATAAAGTAGTTTGGCTGATATGAAATGTATCATTGGTGTTTTCCAATCAGCAGCAGAGGCCTTTTCCTTCTGCACATAGGCAAGGATGTTATCATACCATAAGATGCAGAGTTATATGCTTACCTAAATGCCCTCCTTCTAGTGGATTTTCACTGTATAAATGAAAGAAAATAGCAGTAAAATAATATGATCAGCTTTACTCCCAGCTAATGTGACCCGGGAAGTAGAATTTTCATTTTCAACCTCAGCTCTCTGGTCAGTACAAAAAAGAAAAAACCAGGGAAGTATACGGTAAGAACCTTCCAGTTGTATCAGCAGAAAGAACATCAACTTCTAAGATCACTGGGGGAAAGGGGACAAGAAAAAGTCACCTTATTTTGGCAGACAGTGAGAAAGAATTTTCAAACTGTCAAAGTGAGAAGTTACTGAAGGATGTTGTTGAATCTCTTTCATCAATATTAAAAAAAAAACAAACAAAACCAAACCAACAAAAATAGTTCAGCAGGCATTCACTTGTGAATGGCTGAATGGCTTAGGTATGCTTGATAATACCTTAATGCAAGGTCTTCTACCATTGTCTTCTCCAGCCCTCATCTAGAATTCTAGAGGTAGTTAAAACTCTGGAAGGCTTTTCTCACTTCCTGCTGCCCTTGAATTCCTGATTAGACAAAGACTTGATAATATCTATGGATAATATCTGTGCCTGTATTGGATACTGAGATGCATCCACCCCCTTGTCTCCTGAGACATGACTCACTCTTGAAACGCGTTTCATCAAAACTGCTTCACCTTCTGCCCCATGAAGTCACTGATGGCACAAGAAGATTCTATTCCCTTGTGATCAGAAGAGAAAAAGATCCAGCCACAGTTTACAATGATTATGTCAGTAATACACACAATATTTTTGTTTTCCTCTTCTGATGGGCAGTGTTTGTTCTTCTACCAGCTGTATTCATTTAGACTGTTATTCATGTACTTGGTTTCACCATGTGTGTATTTAACAGTTTGCAGCATGGAGGATCTTCAAACAGTTTTTCTCCACACATTTTGTCTTATGTGGGTCTATATTAGTAGTTATCAGAATCTGATAACATCTGAATGTTAAAATACTGTAAATTAGCTCTGTACCACAGATGGAACAGATTCAGAAATGATTTTGCAAATATTGCAAAAGTCATACAGTCCTAATTATCTGTTCAATATCTGCATCTGAACCTAGAAAACCCAAAAGGAAGACAATGAATACACATTCCAGAAGAAAATAAACCAAACCATCCATCAAATGGGACAGAAATTAGCTGAGGATGTACTTCTTGGGTCTATTGGGTACACCAGGGACTGAAAACATGAGGGTTATTTTGGCTTTCAAAACCCATTACAGAGACAGATATCCTACTGGAACAGTGACATCATTGACTAGTTTAAAGTGGCTTGAGCTCTCTCAGTGATGTATGTGTTTTGACAAACCTGGATATTTGGTTAGCATCATTTCCCTTTGACCGTTATTACACTCCTACTATATAATACTTGCAGCTAAATCAAAACATAGACAGCAGTAATTACCAACAAATAGCAACATCTAAGTATGCATATAAATACTGAACAGGGGACAGTTGTGGTGCTATGGAAGAATATTCCCATGAAGTTTGGCTTCTTTTACTTTTTATTTTAGGTTCTAACAAATTTTAAGCAAATTGAAGGATACTAAAGTCTACTAAATGAGTGAATGTCATGAACTCACCACATTCTCCACTTCTCCCGTCCTGTTGGCAAGTTCACATTCTTCTGCATGCCCATTGCAAAAGCAGCTGCCCCGGATGATCAGGTCGTAAATAGCATAGTGGGCAAACCTCTGAGGTTTCTCTACCAATCCCAAACCACGGCATGGACATTCCTGCCTTTTTAACAAAAGGAGGCGGAGGTTGGTGAGTTTCAGGAGATCTTGAGCCTCAGGACTGTAGGGATCTTCAATCTTGTTAGATGGAGTTAAGGCACGATAGATCACCTGAAATACAGAAGGTACACACTCAGGAGAAGATGTAGGAGTCTGCACATGCAGAAAACATTTGAGGTGATGATCAGGAAAAAGTAATAGTTCTATTTAGAAAGCTCCACATGAAGTTGTCTGGCTGTGAGTGATCCCTGAGCATGACCACAGTTACCAACCAATTGCCCAGCCACAGCAGGTGACTGTACCTGCTTTCATCCCATCATATGTGAAATAGGAAACCAAGGCTTACTGGCATTAATACAACATTAATGCCATCCAAATTTTTCGAAACATTTTAAGCACATGACTCTACCACGAGTTCCAGAGTCAGGTAAACTAAGGCGCTAGGGAGATATGTGACAGAAGTGAGAACTGTGACCACACTTTTGGCATAATCCCTTCAGCCATGCACTAGAAAATACAAGTTGGCTTAGGGTGAATAGGCATTGAGAGAAACCAGTTTTCAAACAAAGCAAGCAAGCCAGTTTATTCATTGGAAAAGAAGAAATAGCTACACTGCAATGAGCTCACAGGACCACAGGGCTTTGTGCCTACCAGCTGTCTGCAAGTAGTAACTTCGGGTTCTTTAGCCCTGTCTTATAAGTGGTGACAGTCTCTGCCTAACTCCATTATGGGAGTGAAAGGTTTGTTTCCATATGGATTCCTTATGGAAACCCAAATATGGGTTTATTTTTCTGTTTCTTTCTTTCTTAGTTGGTGTACCAAACAATTTAAACACTTGTAGCATATAAAATGTTCTTTTTGTTCATAGGAGCCAGAAAAGAGCTTGTGGTACATGAGTGAAAGAGAATTCTGTTGGATGTTGATGGCACGTGGGGAAATAAATCTCCTTAAATCAACAGGATCAGCTGCCAGGCTCTGCACAGAACTACACCTGTCAGTAATGCAGTGAAGGCAGCAGTACATTTCCCACCTCCCTGCAGCATTTTCTGTTTGGTTAGCTCTGGTCTTCCTTTTAATTTCCTCCTCTTGTACTGTCAGCTGTTTACAAAGCTACAGATACCCACATTTGTGAGATCAGAGGTGTCTTGTTTGATAGAGCCATGGGCAGTTTGCCCAGGCTGTGCAATGCAGGTGCCTACATTCCCCTGACCAAAGAAGCCATGACAAAATAGCCTAGGCCTTTCCACAGCAACGTCTACATTCCCCCAGTCAATGGAACCATGAGAAAATGGCCTAGTCTGTTTTGTCCAGTGCCCAGCATTTCCTGTTATTGATGGATTCAGAGGACAAAGACCAAATCTCTTCTGTCCTTTCCCCTAATCCCGCATGGTCTGGTCTTTTTGGTGGAAGGTAATTTTATGTACCTCCCTCTCCTTCTTCCGAGTCCCTTGTGGATCACATAGAGGTGGAATGGTTTCTCACAGTCCCGAGCACCTGGTGATGTACAGACACACATCCTCCTACTGCACGGGTGAGCCAATTCATCCAAGACCAAAGCAGTGAACTGAACAGAATTGCTCTGCAGACCTTCTAAGCTCCAATATCTCAAAGCAGGTTAAAAGCTAACTACTGTGAGATTATTGGCTAAGAGTCCTTGCAAAACTGTTTTAAATTGGCATAAAATAGAGGAGTCAAGAGGTAAGGCAATTGTAACCAGTTTTTATAAGCTCCATTCTCACACCTGACTTCCATGTCTGTGGCATCTCTTCAGGAGAGTTGCTTTGATATTTGCTTAGAACTGTCAGTGGTATTTGTGAGTAGGGATATTTATAGCTTAGATGTCCCATAGGAATTGCAACATTTATTTAAGAAAAAATGAGTCTTCCATTCCAGTTGAGGTACAAGAGTTTGCTTGTATGATTAATTCATGACATATTTCTGTCAGGAATAAGCTCAGCGGTGAGGCTGGGTTTGTTCATCCTTGTCTCATCCAAAGAAAGATTTGTCAGATGTTAAAGATCTGATTTGGGTGGCATAACATTTGTGAAATCTTTTGGGAGTGGAAGTTATAGATGTTCTTCTTGAACTCAGCATTAAGAAATTAGATGTGAAACAGCCAAAGATATTGAGGAGTTACTTAAAAATATTTTGTGTCAAGAGAGTTAAAGTAATTTTGTTTTGCCAGTCTGAGTCAGTTTAGGTGAGCTGCATTTTGCATTGAAGCTGCACAGTTTTAATTAGTATCAATAACAGCATTGTTTTACATATGCATAAAATTTGGAAATTGAATTTTCCCCCTCTTCGTAATTAGATTAATAAATTTAGATTAATTAGTAAATAATAACAATGAAATAAAATTAATAAACTTAGATTAATAAACTTATATCTGTAAAATTCTTTTAGAATCCCTAGATGTTCAATGCACGTAGAATTTAAAAAATAACAACAACAGGTCAAAGACAAGAGTTTGGCAGTTGCAGTCACTTCTACATAGATGTTTGAAAGATCAGATTAGATATAGATCTAAGTCTTAATGAACCCATAGACTCATAAGCTGGGAAGTAGACTCATAAGTGGGAAGAGATGCTCCATCTCTCCACTGTGTTATTTATTCTTCTGTTTATTTCACCAGATTTTATTTTGCTTTCCGAAGCCTATAAGGGACACGTGGACATTTGGCTTATGCCTTTTGCCTAGCTTAAGAAAAACAGGATGCATTGTTCATCTCCCAGAGATATCATGCAAATTTGCAATCTTCCATTATATTCAAGTAAAAAAGATTGAGACAATGTTATGAAAAAGAAATATGTACTAATAATTAAGATGCAAGCTCTGAAAAGAGTTTCCCAGTGATATTCATCGTAAGGCCATTTCTCATTTAAGTAAATGTCTGTGTGGTATCAAGCTTCATGGAAGTTCCATTCTTTTTTTTTTCCTTTTTTTTTTTTTTTTTTTTTTTTTTTTTTTTTTTTTTTTTTTTTTTTCTTTTTTGCTGTTCTAATGACTGTTCTAAGACTGTTCTAATACCCCCCAGCCATTTCTCTTAGCATCTGCGTGTAGTTTTCATAAAAGCAGCGTAAGCACAGAAGAAAATGTTGGTGACTGTCTGTTAAGGGCTGAACAACTTAGGCACAACCTGGAAATATTTCAGTTTCCATGGAAATGTGTGATGCACCTTTATGGGCTCAACCGTCTGTGGAAATACATCCTAGATCCTGAGTTTCCCTATAATCAGGGGCTGACACTGGAGCTGAATGCTGAGCAGGGCATTCATGCTTATCAGCATATCTGCTATCAAGCGCATATTTGTCATTCTCATTTTCAAAAGTCAATCAGCTACGCCTCAAAAAGATGGTCACTACCCTGTCCTCTCCTGACCTTTCCAAGAGCAAGGAAGTTTGGAGAATGCTGTAAGTGTGCAAAGCTAAAAGTGACAGCCACTGTTAAAGCACTGGTTTTGTTGTATGCAAGTTGGCACAGCTTCACAGAGGGTGATGTTTTATCCCCAGTCAAGAGGTCATCTTCATTCCAGAGACAGTGTCTCAGATTTTTGATTTTTTGCCACATGTTTTGCCTCTCCATTCCTGATACAGATAATTCTGTTTTCTTAACCTGATCTTCCAGCCAGTATTAGTCAGAAAAGATGTGGACACAACAAAAGTTCCCCTTTGCAAGCTTATAGCCTAAGGTCAAGGAATATGAGACATAAATTGAGAGGAGAGCCAATTCATGGCCTCCTACAAAAGAAGATCCTTGTGCAGAACAAGAATTTGGTATTGCAAATCATCCTTAAGCTATGCTGATCATGTTGCACACAATCAGGTTAATGAGGTCAGAAATGTCTGCGTGCTTATACTAGGCCCCTCAGAAGGAAGCTGCAATAAAAACTCTCATCAGTCCTAAATCCTCTTCATTAAGAGATTTTCATGTTAGTTGATTTTGCTCATAGAGGAATAGTAAACAATTGTGTCTCAGAATTTTTCCTACCCAGTGGCAAATATCCTCTGATCTATTTGATGGAGCCTCTTGATTGAAATTCTTCCATCTGGTGGAACAGTAGACTTTACTGCACAAGTAGTCTTTTTTTCCTGTTTTGGTATAGTCTGAAGCACAAAGAAAGCCTAGGTATTCTCTTAGCTGTCAGAAAGCTCATTCCAGTGATTCACGGGAAAGAGCTTCCTATTCCACATCTGCCTCTTCTGTCCTTCTGTAAAATAAGACTTAGTAACCAGTACAGAATATATTATTTCTTTCTTAAAGAAATAATGATGCATGTGATTTTTAAAAGGTATCTGATATAGGTAAACCTGGCTACTTTCAGTACAGTGGTGTCTTGAATTCATTCTGTCTTTTCCAAAACAGAAAAAGCCAATCTCCCTCTAATTTACATTTGCTGCAAGGTTATTCCAGTAATGCAGCCAGTGTGGCATTAATATTAATTAATATTAATATTTAGGCATTGCTGCCAATACGATGATGGGAAAGACTGCACAATCAAGGTTAGTGACAGACAAAGCTGAAGACACGTGCAGACATTTTTCTTTTCCACAAACCGATGGTTTCCTGTAGCTTCAGGCTATCTACATATACATAGCCCTACGTCTATGGCAAGTTTTGTAGGGAGAAACAGTGTCTTTCATCGAGTCACAAAATGTAGTCAGAGTGCAAAATCTAGTCTGCTGGACACAACAAACTTCAGTTCACAGTGTGTACAGGGAATGGACAACATTATCTCTGCTCGACACAACATTCCATGAGGATCTGAGAACACTTCCTTACTCACATACAACGCAGTGTCCTTTTTCATTATGAGAAAAGATTTTTGCTCTGAAATGGCAAAGAGGGATGAGGAGTTCTGTGATGCAGACAGCTCTACTAGATTGAGACCTAGATTGAGACCAAAAATCTCATTTCATTCTTCTACCTTCTGAAAGTTCAACACCGAGTTACTACCAGTGTCAAGCAACATCAACCAATCAGCATCCTCATGGGAGAGCATCCATTTCTCCTCAGTAGAGCCACCTGCCTCTTTAGGCCTTGGCTGAAACCTTACACATGAAAGGACCTAGTAAAGGTGTAGTCTCACCATGACAATGGTACATGAATAACAA